TTTACGACAAACGGTGCAGGTTATTGTATTAATTAAATAAACAGTGTCTTTTGTGTCAGGATACTCAGTGCAGTATTTGCATTCTTCCGCGTAACTCTCCTTTCGGTTACATCATCTAAAACCAATCGCGTAACCATCCAATGACAGTGTCATTATACAGCGACACGACGTCCAATGATGCCATATGTAACGGTATAGGATTTTCGTTCGTTGTTGCATTAATGTCTTGCAAAAGGTAACCACTGTTTCGCAGTCACTGTTGAAAGCCTATGAGTATTTTATTAGTTGAATGTTTGCTCATATTGTAAGTGAGACTGCCAACCACTGGACCGATGAATCTCAGGCTCACCAACATTTTAGGGTTTAAGCATTTCTATTGTTTTTGGGCACGCTGCAAGCGTAAATGGTCGGGTTCAGACTGTGTACAATGTTTTCATTGAGCTTGCTTTCCAGTACCAGGGGATTTACGGCAGCTTTAACGTGATTCCTGATCTTCGCAAGGCGATTAGCGTTTTTTCGCTCCCTTTGGTCGATAGCTGCAGATAACAAATGCGCACCCATTTGCTTTATCCCAGGGAGCTTCGGCTTAGTGAAAATATCCTTAATTTTGCGTGTTTATGCGAATGCTGTCTGTTGCAGTGGCTGATGTTCGTGAATTTGTAGTACTAGCAATAATTTACCTATTATACAGTTCATGTAGGCAGTCTTCACCAATCAGCGTAGTGGAAATACAGAAGTTAGAACGTTTTTATTGAATGCACTGCGACTGGTTATGTTTATTAACTTAGTGAACGTCTGCTTGATGATGTTTCAGTCTGTAGGTAGTGCTAATTGTAAAGTGATAGGCAACGACTAATTTCTTTGATAGATGAGAAAGACAGAAAACGTTTTTGCGAATACTGTTTTACGTATTGGTAAGGTCTGCGATTTCCAGTAATCGTCTTTGAGATATGTAAATGTACACAAAAATAGCTTAATAGAGTATTAGCAATGCTTCTGTGAAGTATATGTTCATAAGTAAGTGATAATGTTGAATTACGGCACGAATAAAGCACCCAATGAAATGGTTTATTGAATGCAGGACGAAGCCTTCTGATTTCACATGAATTATTTGCTATCGATAACCTTATGGTCGTCAACAAAATAAATTTCCACCTTACCTTGATGTTGTTCATTACTATTTTTTGATTACCACATTGCAAAGCCGCATGCTGCTTCAGATTCTTTATGTCCGTTCATGTCAGCATTGCCATTTTGCCGTCTGACGAATAAATTCTTCATTCTGTTGTTTAAGAGTGACCTGTAAAATACGAACATCAGTTTATTCATTGTTTTATTATCACCAATAGATTGTGTATAAGCAAACGGTATTTTTTGTACAGTTTTTTATTTGCATTACTCAGTGTTACTCATAGCGTTTATTTTGCTGTATGCAGTGGATCATTCGATCAGTCGGTCCTTTCATTCCCATTATCTGTTATTATGTTCCGCCGAAGAATCGACATTCCTCCGCAGACTGGCTTCCGCTCAGTGATTCTGTCAACTAGGCTGGATCCACCAGAACTGTAACAGCGGTCTTTAACCCCTTGTGATGGAGTCGATACCTGAGTGGAATAGCATCCACCCTCAGAGGTTCAAAATTCCAGATCACTGGCGCTTCGTTGACGATAGGCTAACTTTATCGAGTTAATATCATGTGGCCTTTCAGCTGGTTCCTGTTCGTTCCCTGTGACTGAAGATATGTTCCAATTTCGGACTGTAATCATCGACTGTCGGTATCATTCCCATGGAACCTTACCTGACGCCTTATAATAGCTTTACGTTGTCTGTCTCGTCTGTTCAGCAGCTGTCGCCGTCGTTTTACGCCACCAGTTTTCAGAAGACGAGAAGCAGGTTGTGATTGCCAACGTTTTGCAGTTCCGTTACAGTGTACAGGGCCTTGGGAGTTGAGGCGACGATGGTGTTCGATAACGGTAGTACCATGATTGGCATATGGCTAAGTTTTACTAGAGATCTCACAATGGTTCTCTACCGTCTAACTTTCTCACCCGTTCTGGAAACCGGCGGCAGCGGCCTACTGTGGCTTTTAGAAAGCATGGCACTGCCGGCTGATGACATTAAAATGTATCTTAACGGCACATGATGAAAGCAAGGGCGTAAAAAGTTTTCCAATGATGAAAGTGCAAGAATGACAGACATTGCAACGCTTGCAAACTTTTTATTTCGTTCACTTTTCTTGCACACGATTCCATGGGAAAGAAACAGGAGGGAACATACTGCCATTGCCACGTTATTATAGCTGCATTTAAAATATGGCACTGGACTGGTCTAATAGAAACGGATATCCGCGCTGCATAATAAACATTATGACAGAAGCTTAGTTCGTTACAAGTATCCCATACCTTTGACAAACATTCCAACGGTAGTAAATCTTCTTTTTATGTTTCTGTTTGATGCAGACCAGTAGATTACTTATGGAGTCAAATAATTTTAAAAAAATATCGTGAATGCAAATTGGAAGTTTGTTTGCTCATTTCTTTAATTGTTTTTGTTGTTGTTTAAAGCATATC